TAGATATTTTACAATCTGAAGACTTTTTTGAAACCGGTCTTCAGTCAAGAAAATTCCCGCACAAATTCCCAAAACATCGTGTCTTCTGATAAAGAATAGTTAAAAATATTATTAAGTTTGAAAAAACAAGTTGCAAATGCTAACGAGAGAATAAAATTAAAAAAAAAAAAGAAGAAGATTTTGTGCTTCATATAGAGTTTTACAAATTACATAATAGTGATGTAAATTTTTTTCTCACAACCTTCTTTTAATTTTATTTTATTTACCCGCTTGCTTTTCGCTTTTGTTACCACTTTATTTACACTATATACTTGTTATTTTTTAAATTTCTTTTTCAAGGTTAAATGATTGGACAACGCAAACTTCTATGTAAAATAATTATGTAGAAGTTTCATGACATGACGTAGATAATATAAATATAACGTAGATAATGTATGTATGTTTTTTCTTAGGTTTATACCCATATTCATTCCCTTTTTTTTTTTTTAAGATTCAATTTGAGGTTATGATTATAGAATTTACAAACATTTCGCGGCATTGGAGAGATCTATAAAATTTATTTTTATCATGTATATTTACTTTTACAGTCTATCTTTCCTTTAAGTTCCAATTATAAAACGAGGCAATGCAAGTTTTTGTTCAGAATAATACAAAAGTTTTATGGTGTTGCAGAGACAGCGTATAAAAATTATTTTTTGTTTCGTCTTTTGTTTTTACTTTTTATTGTCATGTAAAACAAATAAATCTATTCACAACAAAACATATTATCGCTCATTTAAAAACTTTAATCAAAGTGTATTTCTTGATAATCTCACAACAATAGATTGGAAACCTTAACCAAAGAAGTCAAAAAAACATCAATAACTCTCTCTCAAAACTTTTAGAACTGATAAACAAGACACTTTACCATCATGCATCTTTTGTACTGGCTATCATTAAAGAAAAAAAAACCTCATCAAATCCATTTATAAATGCTGGCATTATTAAATCCATAAATATAAAGAATAAACTTCATAAAAAGTACATCAAATGTAAATAGGAGCTTTTAAAACTGGAACTCTTCAACCAAAAAAAAGATTAGAGAAACAAAATTAGCAACCTAATTTGTTTCTCAAAATAAAAGTTATTACTTTAAATAAAAAAGAAAATGTTAATAACCTTAAAAAAAGTTGGATTGGAATAATAAACGTAATAAGTATAAAATTAAATAATAATACTATAGAAAGTTTACTTGTAAATAAACAGAATATCACTGATAAAAAGCAAACCGCTAACTTATTTAATGATTATTTCTCCTCAATCGCAGACAATCAATCATCAAAAACCTTACCCTCTAAGCATAACTTTAGTCACTATCTAAAAAACCATAATTTAAGCTCACTTTTATATCTCCAGTTAGATATTTTAATATATATAAAACACCTCAAGAAATAAAAAACTATTTATCCATTAAAAGATTATAAATCCAAAAAAGAGCACAGGTCCAAACAACAATCCCAAAAATATACTTATATTAGCATCAAAAGAACTAAGTCATCCATTAACCCCTATAATTAATTAATCGTTTAAATCTGGAACATATCTTGACCAATTTAATTGCTAGGGTCATCCCAATCTTGAAAAAAGGCTCTAACACAAACCATCTTATTTATCAACCAAAATCACTACTATTCAATATCAGTAAATTTCGCAAAAATAATTATACTAACTTATAGACATAATCGAAACTATACGTGAAGCTTTAGACAATAACACATTTACTTGTGGGGTTTTTATTGACTTACAGAAGGCATTCGATACTTTGGATTATGGAATTCTGTTATCAACGTTACATCATTTTGGTATCAGAAAAGTTGCTCACTCATCGTTTATGTTATACCTATTAAACCGTTCTCAATTTTTTCTCAAACCAAATCAATTACAATTTCCGACATCTCTTCTAATACCAAATCAACATCTATTGATGTACTCTAATATTCCATTCTTGGCTCTCTTCTTTTTTTTATCTACACTAACGACCTAAAACATTCACAAAGTTCTCAAAAACATTTTGCTGATGACACAACTGGAAAAACCACTTGAAAAGATAAACACCCTAATTACGACTTGGCTTGGTTTAATGGTTAAGATCCAATAAAATGAATAAATGCTAAAAAAAACTGAAATAAATCTAATTAAACCACATTATGTCCAACTTTATAAAGAACTAAATTTCAGAATCATTTGACTAACAAAATTTAACTTTAAAAAGTTAAATTTTGTTAGTCAAATAAAGTATTTAGGAATAATGTTAGATGAAAACCTTCACAAACCAATTGAAGCAGACTGCACTTAAACTCATCCGTTCAAATAGAATGTTGGCAAAGATCAGGCATTTTGCTTGGTAGGAGACACTTATAAATATATGTTATGCTATACTTTTGGTTGTAAGAAATGGGGGAAAATCATTCAAAGTATACAAAGATCATAGAAAGCCTTTAAAACAAATCACCTAAAATAGTTTATTTCCAATCTAATTGATTTGACTATAAAATCCTCTACAATCTCTCAAAAATTATGAAGCTAAAAGATCTAATATTCCTATTGAGTTTTACATTTGTATGGGACAGTTTGCATAATAAATTAACAATAAGCTTCAATATTTGTTATAAATCTGTTAATAAAAATCATTGCCATTACCTTGATTAGCATCGCTTAACATCCTCGTAATACCTTTAAAGCAAACACTTAAGTATTAATCCCATTAAATATCAATCAATTAAATAATGGAATTATTATGTCTCTGAGCTCAAGACAATGTATCTGAAAATAAAGTAGAGCTCACTTAATCTTCATCAACAAAGTCAAGGAGTTAATCCAAGATAAAAATAATAAGTGAAACTTCTGCTGTGTTATTTATCTCAATATTTGTTTTTCATGTCGTTTTGACCTTCTCCTTTATACTTGTAAAATTCAAGTTGCTTTTTCCGTTTTTCTTAAAAAACATGCTAATGCTGATGTTCTTGTTATTGTATTGTTATCGTTCTATTTAAAAGGCTGTTTATTATTATTATTTTTTAAGTATCTTTTTTTAATTATTTTCAGTGTTAATGTTTTTTTTGGTTGTCTGTTTTTTATTTTGTTTTTTGATTATTATAATATTATCATTATAATATTACTGGTATTATTATTTATATACGAGTAACATGTTACATATTTTGTCAAATTTGTTGTGAATATTTGTTTTTGTCAGTTAAATAACTGTTTGTGACTGATCCTTACTTTGTATTTGCTTTATAAATTGAAAAAAATGATTGATTTTTAGTTGCCATTTTGAAAATAACAAAAACAACAAAATTATTCCGTAACGGTGTGTGTAGTGGTTGTTTTTCCCTATCACTCTTCCTAAAGCTGTTATATATACTTTTAAGTCGGCACAACTATACATTTAGCATTTCACTTGGCAAGTTATGAGAATAGTTGGTAAACAGCAAATATCGAGGCTTTTTTTTTGTCTTTAGTTGGCAAAAAAATACCCTCCCCTCCACCCCATGAAAGAACTTTTAGGGACGACCCTGTTCCGTACAACTATTTTAAATATATGATTGGTTGATTGAAGATACAATAAGTAGGCACTTCACTCGATTTCACTATTATTATTATCTCTTGTTATAAATAATACCAAAGTATGCGGGTAATAAAGACGTTTTCAAAATGGATATGAAAATTTGGATAACTGGTTCCCAAGTTATGACAGTTTATGTTGGGCTCAATAACGCCTTAAACAAGGCATTATTGAGCCCAACAATCAATAAAGATTCCACTACTCGTTTGCCCCATTTGGGATAATTGGATCAAAAGCTATAAAAGCTTTGTTAAAATCGTAAAAATTAACTTTAGATAAAGAAATAGTTTTTTCAAACTGTTAGAGAAAACAAATTCATTAAAATTTATAAATAAAAAGAAAATACGTAAATCTTAGGGCTAATTTCCCTAATTCAGGGCAATTGGGCCAAGAACAATCAAAGTTCTGTACAAACAATAAAAATTTATTTCAGTTAAAAAAAGGACTTTTTCAAACTGTCAGAACAAACAAACTCATTTAAATTTATATATATTAGGTAAAAATGTAAAATTACACAGAGCCCGTTTTCCCATTTTTGTGCAAATTTACTGTTCCTTACAACTATGTAATTATAAATATATGATTGGTTGATCAAAGAAATAATAAGATAAAATTTTCAAATCTGCTTATTTAGGAGATAGAACAATGCAAAATGGCACGCAACACTGTGTTAAAAGTTTCATATGTTTTCAATATAAATAAAACAGATCAACATAGTGCAAAACTATTCCAAAATTTTAAAACCCTAATTTCTAAAAAAATTAGAGATAGAACTAGATAATTCTAACATCGCGAAATTGCAGTTGCCGTCTTTTTGTTTGATTCTTCCTAACTTTTTAACTTAAATATGCAACGATTTGTAAAAATATTGTTACGCGTTGTTAGTCAAAGAAATAATTGAACAATTAAAGAGATAAAATCAAAATATTTTTCTTTTTAAGGAATAAGAAACTGATTTTCTTTACTCTAAACCAAATTTCTATTCGACAATAGATTGTAAATTTTATCTAATAATATTTTAGTGTTTAAAAATTATGATCACAGCAATGTTCAAACCCCTCAAGAGGGGGTTATAAACTTTGCATGTTTATAACTTTTGATATTAATATTACTAATATAACTTTTGATATTAATATTATTACGTGAAATTTGAATTTATAAATATTTATAAATATATTTGAATATATTTATAAAATATATTTTATATAGAAATATATTTATAAATATATTTGAATATAAATCAGGTGTAGAAGAGTATTAGTTCGAGTTTTGGGCTGGAGAGTGAGAAGAAGAAATGTTCGAGTTTTTTTTGATGTTCCTAGGGTTATATCAATAAGATACAGAAGCAATAAAATATGAAAACAGAAAAATATGCATACAGAAGGAAAAAAAAAAATGAAAACAGAATAAAAAATTTATTTAGCATAAATAATAAATTATTTATTCGATTATTTTTACAATTTAGAACTAAAGACTCTGTTAAAACACTTCAAACTTTTACTTTCTTTTCCATTTCATGTTCTTGGGAGAGAGAAGGGGAGCAAAACTTTTTATCGATGCTTTTCGGAAGAATGGTACCGAGGGATAAAACAAACAAAGCAGAAACAGACATCAGAGTAAAAGCAAAATATTCGTTAACTGGAAAATAAACAGCTTTGTGTAAAGTGAGTTGATTTTTCAAATTCTTCATTGACCACGAGTACGCTTGACCAAAAATAACTGATCCAGTTGCTCTAAAATTAATTAAAAAAACTTTATTTATAAGGTAAATTTAATTGTTAAAAGTAAAAAACAAGTTTATATTTCAAAAGCTACTTTTAAGATCTTTAAAAGAATTTAAATCAGCGACAAAATTAGAATTATTAAAGATTTAAAAGAGATTTAAAAAAAATTTTGTAACAGTTTTAGTACCTTCCTATTGATGCAAAAGACAAACCAAGACCATTTGCTAAACCTAGAAACTCAGGTTGAACTGAATTACTAACAAAGACGTTACAAGATAAAATAGCTGCAGAATGAGTTGATCTAACGAGACAATTAAAAATCCATAATGCTACCCACAAAGCTTTCCTATATTAATGTAAAGTAAAATCATTAAGGGTAAAAAGTTGATTAAACTACCATAGTTGCTTTTTTAAACAAAAATATTTTCATTAATCAATGAAGTGCTTCCAGACTTTTACAGACAATAGAACAAAATACATAGTATTTTTATAAATAATATAATACTATGAGTAGTAAACACAAAATATAGTTGGATACAGAGGCAATTTTACGGGGTAAAGAGGGGATTGTAGGGGGTGCGACACCCCTAAAAGAAGGTGATTTTTAAGTTAGAGTCGGCTTGTCGGGTATTTGACACATTTTAGTCGGGTGATGTTTTGCCAGTCGGTACTTTTTAGGGATTCACCTTCTTCCCTCATTTTATTTGTAGAATTGTCTCTAGTTGGATACAGAGGTGCATGTTTAATTTTGAGCCTCCCATTGATAACCATTACATTACACAGCACAAAAACTGTTTTTGCGAGTATAATTTTTTTTTAAATAAGGGGCATTCATAAAGAACGTACTCAGTAAAACTACTGATTTAGAACCCTTTTTCTTTCGTTTGCTTCAACCCCCCCTTCTTCTCTGCGTACGTACGCATTACAAAAATTAACCCCTTTATTTTTTTTATCAACAAATACAACTAATCTTTCTTCTTTATAATGTTTTAATGTCCATGTAGTAGTTGTCCACTCAGTTAATTAAGCATGCATTTATATTTTACCTACCATTGCATTTCAATAGCAAAAACAAAAAAAAAATGAAAATTAAAACTAAAAAAAAATGAAAATAAAAACTAAAAAGAATGTTCACTTTGAAAATAAAAAGCAACTGTTATAGATTTTATGAAAATGAAAGTGGGAAATGAACGGTTTAATTAAAAAAAAAGTTAACGATAGATAAACACCTACTGAAGTACTAAATAGAATCATGTTTCAAAAAAACTAGATAAAACACTCTAGGCTGGTGGCAAAAACAGCAATTTGGTAAAAGATAAATTGTTTTTTGAAAATATGAAAAATGATAGAACGTATTCTATGGGTAAAATAAATAAAAAATTTAATTAAAAAGTGAGAAAATGAGAAGTTAAGTGGATAAAAACAAATAAATAAAAAAGAAAATCCACAAAAGTAGAATCTTAAACTTAAAATTCAATCGATATCGAGTGAGACAAGAATTTGACGATGACATCAACGAAAAGAAAGAAAAAAGTTTTTAAAACACCATAGACTAATATTTGTTGGAAAAAATAAACTATATGCTCTCAGTGATAGATTTCAGTTATTCAACAACAAAGTCATTGTATTAGAGTAGAAGTACATGGGATGCAGGGCCGTCCCGAACGATGGGATGGCCCTGATGTACTTCTGCTCTTATCAAAGACAAAGGAAGTTTTGTTGACAAACTTGTGTTTAGTTGATCTACAAGCGTGAATCATAAACTCGAAGTATATAGACAATATATGAGGTATATAGACAATATACGACATAAATAGACAATATATGAATACAATAATAGCCTAATATAGACAAACTATGAGGAATGAAGATTTTATTTTATTAAACATTTTAATGACAAAATATTTTAACCTATTTGTTATACTAACCAAAATGAGGAACAAATAGACAAATGGAGAATACTCAAAACTTGACTCTACAAAAAATGCAACGTAAAAATGCTTAGTGTATTGTTCAATCTGAAAAAAAAAAAAATTACGTAGATAAAGTACTTTAAAAAACTTTATCTACCTAGTCGCGACCATATAACAGAAGTAATTTTTTTTTGTTTTATTCTGTTTTTGAATTATTTCTATTAATATTAAAATTGGTACTCAAACTCTAAACATGTTGGCTGACTTATGATCTTTTATTTAAAAAAATCATGAGATTTAATAATAAGAACTTGATGTTTTTAAGCCCGGATTCCTTCTCCATTATACCTAAGAACTTCGGATTTCAAAATTAGTTGTTCCTCTGAACTAAAAACCTTAATTTTATTCCCATCAGTCGTCCATAACTTTTTTTTTATATTCATTTTGCATAGGAACTAGGATGATGTAATTATTTTGTGACTTTCAAACCCGAAGTCCTTTTTGGGACTCTGAAAACAAATGGCTTAACTTTAATTCAAAATTTTAGTTATAAAAGGAGGGAGTTATTTTTTCACGTTACTATTAAGTAATTTTTATAAAAAATTTCAGTTTATAAATCTAAACTAATAATTTTTACATAACACATATAAAACTATTTAATTCTAGCGTGCGATCAAACACGCATTTTCAAACAACTGTTTTTTCAATAGAATTTCAAATAGAGTTTAATATGATGATATATGTTTTATACTTTTTTCCAAAAATTATTAAACGATTTCATCTTCCCTAGTATTGAGGACTCGATAGTATCTTCGATTGCGCAATCACTAAAACACTTTTGTGTTTTCATAAAAATTGATGAAAGTATTTATATTTATACTAAGAATTTTTCTAACATATTTCACATTTAAAAAAATATATATTTTGAATAAATTTTAGACATGTTTTTAATATATATATATATATATATATATATATATATATATATATATATATATATATATATATATATATATATATATATCCACTTTTTGAGATTCGGAGTATTTCGCTTTTAAATTTTAGGGCACAAATACTGAAAGTTGATCTTTTTTGTAATATATTCATATTTTTAAATCTAATAGTAAATTAAGTATATGTCTGTATACATATATGTACATATATAAATTAATCTAATACTAAATTAAGTATATCTGAATACATATATGTATGTATATATATATATATATATATATATATATATATATATATATATATATATATATATATATATATATATATATATGTGTGTGTATAAATGTGTAAATATATGGGCAGTACCGAGAGAACAGTTATGAAAACACTTACTGTCAAATGTTACGATGACGAAATTGCCCATATGTGTATGTATATATATATATATATATATATATATATATATATATATATATATATATATATATATATATATATATATAAAATTGCACTATATGTAAACCAAATAACAAAAAAAGCAAAAAAATCAAAAGTTTAATTATTCGCAAGATAATCAGACTTCACTTCACAATCAGACTTATTTCAATTGGTAATAATCGAGTAATAAGTAAGTAATAAATCGAGGCAATGTTGTTTTAAAATTATAAATTTGAAAATAATAATTTCAGTCAATAAAAACAAAATATTTAGTGTAAAAAGGCTTTAAAAATTGCCAACCTAGTGAATCTTAATTTGTCGAAAATGAGTTTTTGGTTTATTTTTCACCAAAGTATAAAACTTATATCAGCATATTAAATCCTATTAAAATTATGATAAAAAAGCTGTTAGAAGTGCATTTGATCCCAAACCACGGTATATTTGAATAGTTTCATGGTATTTTGTAAAAAATATTAGTTTCTTTTTATAATTTGAAATTTTTTATAAAAAAGACTGATATTGCAGCCAATTAACATTAAAAAATAAACACAACAGACAATAAACAACCTGATAAACAATTTTTGTTGTTAGTGTTTCTTATTTACTAATTATATCAAATAACTTGTTTTAAATGAAATGTTAACAGCTATTGTAATGTAGTAAAAATATATTATATAGTAGCTTTAACTCAAATTTGGCATGATGGAGAGCTTTTTTTTTTCTACTTATGTATGGTCTTTACATTTTATTACTGGTCTTTATATTTTTTCTAGGTAATATAACTTAAACGAAATTGTGTTTTCTTTTATGAGATTTCAATTTATTTTCACTTTAATAATCCTTGGTTATCAATTGGTATTGGTTCTACATTGTTTCTGTTAAACTGAGCTTGATGTTGCTTAAAAGTTTAGAGCCTAATCTGATGCCATTATTAAAAAGTATTCACCCAAACCTTGGTAGATTAAACTTACCTTTACTTTCTGCAGGCAGCAAATAAGTACATCTTGTAGATTTCACCTTTTTTCTCTTCTGATTGATCATTTTATAAAATCTATATAAACTTTGTTTGACACAATTATTTGCTGTACATTATTCATATATTATATTTGTTGTACATTATTTACATAATATATTTTACTTTTGAAGCTTATTATTATTTTAAGCTATTCTTAAAATGATCATATAGATCTAAAAAGCCAGATAAAAAGCACATTTTAATTTCATTTAAAAATATTTTATGGCATTTAACTTACCATGATATGACTTTTTGAAGCAATAAAATCTATTTTCGACCTAATAAAATGGCCTAAAAAATGTGCAAATTAGTTTTTTTTTTTTATTAATCACAGAAAAAACCAAAACACATGAAAAACAGTGCTATGTTTTCCATGTTTAAAACTATGAATGTGTGTTTAAATAAGCACTCAAAGTCACATTGAAATAGCCTACTGCAGGGACTTTAGTACATATATTAATCTTACATCCTGCTGTCAAGGGTTTTTAATTTTGATTTAAGCTTTAACTGTTTGGATGGTTGCAGAATAAAATCATCAAAAATTTGAGGGATATGTATATATATATATATATATATATATATATATATATTTGAGGGATATATATATATATATATATATATATATATATATATATATATATATATATATATCTCAAATATATATATATATATATATATATATATATCTCAAATATATATATATATATATATATATATATATATCTCAAAAATATATATATATCTCAAAAATTTGATATATATATATATATATATATATATATATATATATATATATATATATATATATATATATATATATATATATATATATATATATATATATTTATATATATATAGTTACACAAATCACCATTTACAAAGTGACATCACAAAAAAAAAAAAAAAAAAAAAAAAGAATTATTCTAAAACCTATTTTTTATCATGCCAGAAGTTGGAAGCAAAAATACAAATGCAGAAAAAAGCAAGTTTGACACACAAAATATCTAAAAAAAAAAGTAATATTACCAAATACAACATACAACTTTTACTTGATACTTATCCTGACATTTAACAGATTTATATATGGGCATGTGAGATTCTTTAATTGTGGCGAAGACAACTTACCCAGGAAAAAGAAAGCTCAGATAAAAAAACCCTAATTTAATAGTGAGTATAGATAAGAGAAGCTCATAAACCTTAACTTTCTTAGTGGAATATCACAATAAAAGTACTCACTTTTGATATTCTAAACAAGTTAATACCCAATAGGATTTTAATATCAGGATTTTAAAAAGATTATCATACTTTCTAAGAAAAAAATCTTATAAATGAAATAAATATAAATATTGTTCTTAGTTTTTTTTTACTTTGAAAGCTTTTGTCAGTCAAGCTTTTGTAACCTGTATCATTATGCATAATTTTTATTTTTATTTTGACATTTACTTTTGAGATTAATTTTGTTTTTTTGTGGTTTCATATGAATTATTTAAAAAATATATTTTTCTTTATTAACACCTGTTTTAAAAATTTAAACACCTGTTTTTTAGGAATTTTGAAATTTAAAAAACTGTTTTTTTTCAGATTTTGTACTCTTATGGAAATTTGTCATGATTAACGTTCATATATTTCACAAGTTTGCAACTAAGTTAAAATCAAAACAAAACAACAACAAAAAAAACAAACAGCTGAATAATCAAACAATAATAAAAAAACCAAATAAGAAAATAACAAATAATAAAATAATCAAATAAGAAAATAACAATAAGAATTAACAATTTAAAACAGCTTAAAAATTTTTATTTACCAGTAAAGTTTAAATTTCTTTAAACTTTACTGGTAATTTTTTAAATTTACATTTACATTCCTGGTAAATGCCTCAAGAATATATTTTTTTGTAATGACATTTTTGAGAATATTTTTTGTTTATTGTACTTTTACAACACTAAACATATCTATTATTCAATAAATCATTTATTTATTGAATTTCATTATTAATTTACATTAAATAATAAATTCTACTATTCATGAACAGTTTATAAATTAATAAATTCTAAATTTACTAAACTTACAGAAATAAATTCAGAAAATTTAGAATTTTTTCGGCTATTTTTTTTGTTGATTCAGCATTAAATAAATTTTATAAACAATTCTGTTAAGATTTTTGTACTGTCAGTAAAGATATATTAGTTTGCTACATATATATGCTATATATATGCTATATATATATATATATATATATATATATATATATATATATATATATATATATATATATATCTATATATATCTATATATATATATATAATATATATATATATATATATATATATATATATATATATATATATATATATATATATATATATATATATATATATATATATATATATATATATATATATATATATATATATAAATATATATATATATATATATATATATATATATATATATATATATATATATATATATATATATATATATATATATATATATTATATATATATATATATATATATATATATATATATATATATATATATTAATTTGAAAATTAATTCGAAAAAGAAAAGTATTGAAATTCATTTAAAAGGAATAATGTCAAAAATGCCAATACAGAATATCAAAATTTGGATTGGAATAGTGTCAAAAAACTAGCAAATAGGTAGAACATGCACGGAGTGCTGCTATATTGACTAAGGGTTTGGTTTGGGCAGGCTAACGATAGAGGTTAAACTAAAAT